GCTTTATGCTTTGCTTATTGGTACTATTTCTGTACTATTACTGTATTACTACTGTACTACTGTACTACTGTGGTACTACTACTGTACTACTAGTGTACTACTGTACTACTATTGTACTACTACTGTACGATTACTGTACTACTATTGTACTACTGTACTGTTATCGTACTACTACTGTACTACTATTGTACTACCACTGTACTACTGTTGTATTACTATTGTACTACTGCACTATTATTGTACTACTACTGTACTACTACTGTACTATTATTGTACTACGGTACTATAATCGTACTACTACTGTACTACTACTGTACTACTATTGTGCTACTATTGTACTACTGTACTATTATTGTACTACTACTGTACTACTATTGTACTACCACTGTACTACTGTTGTATTACTATTGTACTACTGCACTATTATTATACTACTACTGTACTACTACTGTACTATTCTAGTATACCTTGATTAGTGGGGGGGGATTGGACCCTAGCTCAAAAGAGGCCTCTCCAGTACTAAAGTTTGCATAAAAAATTTAGTTTTGGGTCGAATCTGGACCGACCCCCTTTGGAAGGGTTTAGGGCTTAGGGTTTAGGGTTTGTTATAGGGTTTAGGAGTTTAGGATTCGTTAGGGTTTAGGGTTTCAGGCGCTGGCCCAGACCCCCCCGACCCCCGACGGCGCAGTCGCGCAGAACCGCAGACCCTGCACCCAAGCCCCCAAACCCCAGACCCCTGACCCCTGTCCGGGGCTACCGGTACCAAATTAAAGAGACCAAAAAGTTTTGGTCGGGGGGGGGGGGGGGTACCCTATCACTAAACCGACCGCCACATTACCCCTAACTTAATAAGGAATATACCATAATTCCCATAGTTTAAAGTCAATAAGGTAATGCAGGATTTATATCATGAACCGTACGGCCAGGTGCAGTGAAGGATATCATCGGCGTGCTGTGTTTCAGGTGCCTGGCTTTGACCTTGCAGGAGTGATCCATGCTCCTGTCTTTCTCCATAGCACTTGCCCAGCTTTGCCCTGCTTTAATGTCTTGTTAAACATGTGTAGGCACATGGGCTGGTAAGGAGTTTTCTTACAGGTGCAGCTGACTTAAAGAAGCGCAAGAAGGTGCAGGCTTAACCTAAGCCCTAAACCTGATATACACCCTCAACTCCGCAGCCTCATTGTAGAACCCTGATAGACGCCAGCTGCGGAAACCCTAAAAGCCCCATCCTCTAAACTTTCCCCCCTAACCTCTAGTAGCCTCAGCGGCAGGTCCGTCATCTTCCTTTGGCTGCTTCACCTTGAGCTTCTTCGGCGAAGCAAGCCTCGTCGTCTCCACAACCAAGGGTTTAGGGCTTGCGGACTTCTGGGTTTTGGGTTTAAGGACTTCTGGGCTTAGGATGTACGGACTTCCGGGCTTAGGGTTTAGGGACCGACTGAGGCTAAGGCTAGGGGAGGCCTAAGACCTTGGGATTTTTCGCTGTTCGCAATTTGGGGTTTCAATTCGATCCTCGAGCATCTTGCGGACGGCTTCATTTATTCTGCAGGGCTGGCTAGGCTGCGTGGACCCTAACTGTCCATCTGCGAGGGCGCCTCCCACAGAGGGCTTACAATGATAGCCCTAGGCCCTAGATCAACAATCTGATGTGGTAGAAGACCCCCCGAGGTTCCATGTGCTCATAAAGAAGATACATTGGCCCTGGAATACCCAAATAGGGACTACTCCAAGACCAAAGTATATACCCTAGTACCCAAATAGTAGGGTTTTAGGTCCCAAAATCCATACTCTGAATGGTTTTGGGACCTTGGAACCCTACTATTTGGGCACTTGGACCCTTAGGGATACCGTTTTGGTACATGTACCCTTACGGATCTATTTCCAAGCTGCGGAGTGATCACCATGCATCAGTCACTCAGCCTATCTTCTTGCCGCCTTCGACGAGGAGACGATACCCCATTTCTGTAGCTGGGATGCACTTATAGCAAAACAATGCAAACCTCCCTTTCAAGAGGAAACAGCCAAGGATCCCGTTTTAATAAACTTTCTGTTGGTAGCAAACGCCCAATGAGACTGACCGACCAAGAATACTATACTGAACTTAGAACCCTAGCAAAAAATATGTTTTTTGCTGTTTCTTGGGGATTATAATAACCAAAAAACAGAAATTATGTCTAAGTGCCCCTAAGAATACCTCTCCAAGGTGCGTAGACTCCAAATCATCGCCGTCCAGGGTTTTGCGCTTCCTTAGATGCGAAAGAAAGGCTTAAGTTCTACGCGGTTTTCAAAACAAGGCTTAAGTTCTAAATGGCTTTCATATTCGGGAAAGGACCCCAAGCCGCCCTAAAACTACCAGAAGATTGGCAGTGTAAGTTTCATGGGAATACTTAGCAAGGATGTTTAAGTGGAGCGAGTCTCCAGAACGCCGGCGAGGCCCTATTCCACAAGGGTGCAAAATACCAGTATAGCACACTGTAGGGTCTCTATAATCGAAATGGGTATTACGATGTGGAGAAGTATCCCCCTAACAGTACCTACGGTTGAAGATACCTAACCTGCATCACCCATGAATTAATAAGGAATATACCATACTTTCCATAGCCGAGGGTCATAAAGGTTCTGCAGGATTTGTATCAAGGGTACGGGGATGGGGTTTGAGGGCTTAGGGCTCCGGCTTTAGGGCTCAAGGGTTTGGTTTGGCTTTTTGTAGTCCGCGGCGGGTGGAAGGCTAATTGTCGTCCGTACTCCCTGGCCCCAAAGTTGAAAGGCAAAGGAACATACACAGGGATGTCAGCGCTCACCCCTAAACCCCTAGCCATTAACCCAATACCCTATACACTCACAATCATACTACTAAGTGATAGTAATAGTACTAGTAATAGTAACAACAACAATAGTAATAATAGTCTTTATCATAACAATAACAATAGAAACTAATTTAAACCCCAATCCGGGGCCTGGCAAATGCCTGGATTGCGCTTTCCCCTGGGACATCCCCCTGCTCTGAGGCTGGGCAGCCACACAACCGTTGACTAAGGGTCTACATGGGAGTTTCCGAAAATAGGGGACCCTCATATAGTACCCCAAAATAGTAGGATCCTTATTATAAGGACCCCAAAATAAGGTACCCCCTAATTTTCGGAAACTCCCATATGCCCAAACAGGATCCTTTAGGTATTCCTTTGAGGGTTACTATGAGGGTTCTATGTGGGTGGTTGTCAAAATTATGGTCCCTTTTTGGGTACCCTGAATCTTAGGTGCCGTATTTTTATAAAGGTCCAAAAAGGGACCCTAGTTTTGACAACCACCCATGTGGGTTTAGTGTACAAGGGTCCATGTGCCCAAATGGTATATACACTGGCTGCAAAGTACTTATTATACTATCTGACTGACTGAGCACATAGACCCTTTAGGGGTTTACTACCATCGCCCAAACCCTGTCATGCGCAAACGCTCTCCTTAGCACAGGCATCCTAGGGTCCTAGAGTTAAGCAAACCCCTCGATGCATGAAGCAGGGGTGCCTGCGAACCATGACCATTGCGATTGCCATCAGAATGACTGGTGATACAGGTATCACATCTGGATTTGAACTGGCCAGCACAATGCATCCAGGGCACTTGCTGACCATCCCCATGGTGGACACAGGAGACCAGTCAACGAGCAGCAAAACTAGTTGGATTCCAAGCAGAAAAAGCCTCTGCTGAGGGGCTGGGGGCCTGGGAGACGGTTGGAAGAATGCGTTAGAGTGACATAGCATGTGCCAGGCTACTGCAGGTTGGTCATCTGTAGGAGTTAGGCCAAGGCTGTTTGGTCTGTGCTCGAACCGCAATGGCTTGTCACGAACCGCAATGGCTTGTCAGGGAACCGGGAAAAAGGATTCGCGTTGCAAGCTTCTTCAGATCACGGGCATAATAAAACCTGAAACTGCACTGCACTTTCAAGCTGATTGGTAACACTAGAGCGACGGACGATTCAGCCTTTTCAGAATCTCCGCTCTTACCATTATCCAGCCCCTTGCCTTGCAACGCCCAACTCCAAAAAGCGTTCAAGCAAACCGAGGGGCCTTGATATTTAGAGCAGGATTTGGGTGTACATCATAGTATGACTTGGCAGGGGGGATAAAGGGGAGTGGTTTACTAGAATAGGGTTTTCGGGCCCGCTATACTGTAATTATTATCAGGAACCCCAAAATAGTATAGGTAGCTGTTTAGGCCCCTATATTACACCCCTCTCTTTACCCTTATAGTAATTATCCCTTAAAGGAACCCATTAAAGGAAACCCTAAGGAATAGTATAGGTATTGATTTAGCCCCCTGTAACAATCGTTCAGACCCCTAAACTGCCTTCTCTTTAGCAAGCCAAGCCCTCGGAGAATCCGAAAAATGGACAGCTTGAAACTAACCCCACGGTTTTTTGAAGTCTAGGGTGTAGGGACCTCAAAACGGTAGGATACTTTTCCGGCGGTTCCTTCCCCTAAGGGTCCGTGTACCCAAATGGTATATACTTTGCCCTATTTAGGTACTTTGGGCCCAAAGTATATACTATATGGGTACATGGACCCTTAAGGTTTTTCGGATCCTGTGAAGTAAAGCGCCTGACAGCAACTGCGACGCTCGTTTCGGCTGTACTCGTGTACACCAGTGCCAGCTACTTTGGCTGGGGAGGCAGGCAGGTGCTGCAGCTCGCAAGAGAAATATCGCTTCCATAAGAATGCAGTGTGATCTGCATATTCCAGTACGAAGGTGTACTACGTGTGTATACCTACATACATACATGTACACACACACACACACACACACCTGTGCATGTATGTATGCAACTACGTACGCATGTATGCATACATGCATGCATTCACGCATGTTTTAATGTCATATATGTCTGGGTGTATGTATGTATGTATGCATGTATGAATGCACGTGGGATAGGAATGATAGATAGGACACCAATCTCTGGGAACTCAGGTTGCAAGCATGAAGTTGATTCTGCGTGAGCAAAGCTGAGATCAGAGGGTGATCCTGCCCATCCGGGATGAGCCTCCCGTGACCTGCAGAACCAACTTGTTCAAGGAGTTGGGGATGTGGAGAAGCAGCCCAAGTCATGCATATGCATGACAAAAATAGGTCATGCAGGGCTCGTCTTCTCCGGCAGGCAAGAAGCACTTTATGTAAGATGCTACAATGCACAGGGCGGCGCTGCAACACTGGTCCCAAAGCTGAGCCCTGCAAGTACAAGCTGAAGCATCCACATCCTGTAGCCGACGCCATACCACCTCAAACTCGCGTAACGACCTCGTTACACCACGTTAGGGTCTAGGAGTCTAGGATGGTGGCAACAGTGACAACCGAATGCGTACCGACAAACCACCACCACCACCACCAGCATCATCACCACCACCATCATCGTCTCCAATCTCCGGGACCCTTTGGCCTCGTGGGGTGGTGATGGAAGGAGTCCCGCACCTGGTAAAAAAAAAAAAGACAAGTCTTAGGTTTCAGCATCTCAAATGTCGATAATTATTGGACTACATATATAGGTTGCTATACCCTTCATGCCAAACTCCTGAGCCCCTGAACGCTACAATCCTGCATTTCGCATCATGTTGATCACAGCAGAAGTTTGTGGACCTTTTTGGTGCTTCTGGAGCCTCGAGACACGAAGATTTCATGGGCTTCTTGTGACAGTTGAAGAGGCTAGCTATGCACGACAACCCTCAACCCTAAAACCTCCCTCGTTCATACTACTCTTTGAAAACGGCTGGAGAGATATGGGTAGTTGTCAACATGATGGTCCCCTTTTGGGTACCCTAAATGTTAGGTGCCGTATTATAACAAGGACCCAAAAGGGACCCTCATATTGACAACCACCCATATGTCTAAGTATTTCAACAGTCGAGACATGCACAGCCTGGGCCAGGGACTAAAACACGGAAGCCGCTGCACAATGATTGTCTGACACATGTGGGCGTTTCTCTAAACTTCGGTACCTCTAAGGTCCTTTGTCAGGTTGCCGTAGCCCTAATGCGGAGAACTACCCATGTGGGACGCACGACAAGGTAACACCGGGACTCTGGCCAACACCCCAACACCCTGAACGAGGAACCCAAATTAAAAAATCAAGCCGTGAACCCAAGTACACCCTAAGTGTCCGTGTACTCACAGAGTATGTACTTTGCACTTCAAGTCGTCCACATAATGGTACTTGAGGGTTAATCCCGGATACATGGACCCTTAGTAGGGATGTAAACAACAAGCTGCAGAACCTTTGAAACGGAACTCTCAAAACTCGAAAAAATGGAACCCTACACAGAAAACCCGAAAAAGCCAGAACCCTTAAGGAAGAGAATTAAGGAATTTGCCGCACACACCTCCTGGGCGACTGCGACTGTCTGGAGAAGCCTGGCCATACCGCAAGCTAAAGCTTTACAGAAGGGCCTTAGGAGTTTAGGATGATTTCAGGGCCCTAACCCCTAAACTTAAAACCCTAAAGCCTTTAGGGCTCTCGGGCTTAGGACATGTAGAGCAAGGAGTGTTGAGGTTTCTTAGGAATAGAGAGACCACAGATTGTTAGGCTCGGCATGCGAGGAAAAGCCAAAAACGCCAAACCCTCACTCTCGGAGGGATGCGGTGGCAGGGATATGTGCGCATTTGCATGCAAGGACCTATCAATGATTGCCAAAAGGATTACGATGAGGATACCATAAGGGTTTGGGGTTGAGGGTCACCAAAAGCGTCCTAAGCAATTAGGAAAGTAGTATTCCAAACGTGCGACCTAGTATAGTCTGTGCAATATGACGGCACATCAGGGCCTTAAAGCTTAGGACATGGATTCTGGGTAATTGATATCAAACGATTATATGGAGAGATAACATGTTCAAGATGCTGCATATTATATTCCGACCTCACATATTATCCCAAGGGTCCAGGTACCTGATCATATACTCTCCCAGCTGCCATCCAGCAAAACTAATAACCCGTAAACCCTAAACCCTAAACCATCCCAAATTCAAGTACCTGTCCCTCGACCCTCGTGGCTATGTAGGATCTTTTCGTTCCATAACCTCTCCCCAGATGCCAGATGCTGCTGAAGCGCCCCAGATTCGGGATCTAGGGGTATTTACGCTGACCCGTCTCGTGAATGAAACCTAGCACCCCAGTTACCTAAATAGTAGGCTACTGGGGTATCTGATATATGGTTAGTAACCTACGATTTAGGCATCTGGGGTCTTGGGGAAAGCAACACATCCGCGAAGATCCGTGGCCCTTCAAGCCAAGCAGATGCAGTAGGGAACGGGGTTAAGAAGGCCCTGGTTTCAGGACTTTGTGTTTGGGTTTTAGATAGCTTTAGTCATCTCTGCTACTCTTCGAATCCTTGGTGCTGCTTGCCGTCTCGCCGGAGCACGAGCTGCAGAAACTCTGATACAGGAGTGCTCCTGTAGTCTGTACTGTAGTTTCCGGTTTGGGGATAGCCAAGTTTACAGTTAGGATCCTGTAAGGCAGCGCCAAGCAGGAACTACAGTGGAGACTATAGGTATGCCTTGACAAAAGTCCTACGATACCTGTAAGCCCGGTAGTCGTAAGGGTTACTAACCCTCAACCCTAAACCCTAAAGCCTGAAACCCGAACTCTATTGACTCCTCGACACACCTGGAAGAACAAATCAAGCTTTCTGGAATCCTTTTCTCTGGACGAAACGGTCGCTCACCCCCCATTCGGGGGGTTTCAATTGACACATGGTCATGTGAGACACTTCGGACAGCTCTTCATCGCAACACCAGCCGATCGCTCTGAAATCAAGCTGTTGTACCTGAAGCAAAATCACACCGTAATATAGAGGCCTTAATAATTAGATATAAAAGGTTGTCGAAGATGCCGGGCAAGAGGGCTTATGCAGTCTATGCGCCTACCATCGCTCACGGCAATCACTGTTTTTCCGCTTACGGCACAAGATCCTCAGGAGTTTGGCAAACTGAAGCTTTAGAGCTTATGCTGTACAACTGCACATGTTGCCACTTCCAAGCTTGTGTCTTGAGACAAAGTCAGTGCATCACACAAAGCGTTTCATGACACACTCAGCACTGTAGAGGAGGATACAGATTTCATCACTCCTCCTTGGGATCCCCTGTCAAGGGAGAACCACTGCAACTCATTTGTGGAACCCCCTTTTTCGGATCCGACTCTACATCAGTAAATCCGATTTCCGCGGTTTTCAGCACAGCATCGACAAAGCTGCACCCGGGAGGTCCTCGTAGCATTTCGCAAACCCCAGCAGTTATCGAAAAGATGTAGCTTATCGCTTCCTTGGGTCATCGTAAAAGGTCCTTCATACATCCGTATCTCAACTGGTGGAGGTGGCTGAACCCTTTGGAAAGCGGGCGTGTAGTCCGCCTGGGTCTCCTTGTCGCACATGATTTTCTCCTTCTTCGGCTGTTTGTTGAAGACTGAGGGTGGGGAAGAACTTCCTGTAGGAACATCTGCAAACATAGTCCGCGTTGGGGGTGCTGTACTTCCAGCGGGAACCTCAGACAAGGGGCTTCTCGACGAACTTCCAGATGGAACATCACTTGGTACGGTCGGAACAGGAGAGGTATTCGCCGGCATAGTCTGTTCGAATCTCTCCTTGAGTTCATACATCCTTTTCATCTGCTCGCTAGAAAGCTGCGAAGGGTTCAGGGAGAGGAGTCGTTGGAGTTCTTTTAGATCAGCCTTACTGAGCTTCAGCGCCTTTGTCGCCTTGCATTTCAAGGCTTTCAGCCTTGCGGCTCTCGCCTTGGCACAGCTTCTCATTCCTTCCCAGATTCCAATGACCGCAACCGCAAGCACCAGTATGGCAACATACAAGTCCCATGGAATCTCCGTGGCGATCGCTTCCTTCGTAGCCTTCGCACCACAGACCTGGCACAGCATTAGAAGTTTCATCAACCAACCAGGTTCCACATGGGCTGCCTTAACGGATGCCGTAGACGTAGAGGTCCTCCGATCCACCACATTCCAAAGTTCGACTAATTCTTTTAGCCTTGATCTGGTAAAGGGTTTCGTTCCGAGGTCCGCCTTCTGGTAGGTGCCGGCAACATGATGTACACGGACTTCGTTAGCTTGGGTCCTCTCCTTCATCCAGTTGGAACGTAGTTTTAGGTGTCTCGTCCTCCAGCTCCCACTTGACGCCGTGAGAAGCGTCACCGCTGCCTGATTGTCGACGTACAAGTCGATGACAACCGTCTTGCGAAGGATCTCTTGTATCACTTCCCGAACCGACATTCCAAGTAGCGTGCCCTCTATGCCCTCAATCAGCTCACTCTCTGCTGTGGAAAGCGTGACAAGGGGCTGCCTCGATGAACGCCATGTCAAAGGGCTTTTTCCAAGAAACGCCGCCGTAGCTCCATGGCTTCGTCCCGCGCTCGGGGCGAAGGAGGAATCAGTAAAGACATTCAACTTAAGTTCTTCCTCCTCCGTAGGATCAGAAAGGCGCACCCGATATCCTATCGTTTCCCAGAGGTAGTCCAAGAGTCGTTGGCCTATACGATTCACCATCTCAGGGCTCTTCGTGATCTTAGACGCCATCAAAGCCGTTATGTACTGAATGTCCGGCCGGGTGCGACTCATGAGCCACATCAGCTCTCCGACCCTCTTTTGGGCCTCTTTCACCTGGGCTTCCTGTCCAGTCAGGTCAACTGGTTCCGCGTTCAGCAAGGCTTGTTCTTCTTCATGGGAAAGAATCAAGAGTTCCTTGGGGCCCTGGCTTGTAGAGCGGGATCCATCATGCCGGTACGAACGTAGAAGTTCTCGAACGAAACCTTCTTGACAAAGCTCCACCGCCCCTTTCTCAAGATGCAGCTCCATTCCAAGGAACCTTATTGGATGCCCTTCTTCAAGTACTTCTAAGGCATCAACTTCCCATTTGTTGGAAACCCAATCGAAGAAACCCTTCATCGTCTGTTCCTCGGCCTGGATCAGGAGGTCGTCAATGTACACCAAGACGAAGCCGTAGGTCTCCGAGTTCTCCCCATCTTCACGAACTATCCTCCATATTTGATCATCAGAAACCAACTGTTCTAACTTCATAACGACAGGTTCCCCTTGCATCTGGACAGTCCATCTCGCTTTCCTGAGCTCGCCATCCCTGAACTGTGACCATAAAGCCGGCGACTCCCGTAGGCCGTAGATGGCCTGTTCCACAAACCACATGTCCCCGCGTTCCGCTAAGCCAAGTTCGTAGGCTATCGAAGGTGGCTCCAAAGCCACTGGTTGCCCCAGCCATCGGGCCAGGACAAAGGCCTGACGTATGTCCGTGGTCCCAATCTTCCATCGCTTGCCGGCGTTGAGGGTAAGAATTGCCCTGAGCGACATGGCATCAATGCCGGCAGCAAAGAGGTCGAAACTGGAAGAGTCTTCTGGCACATGATTTCCACAAGCCACAAACCTCGTTTTTCTCCTATAGCCTTCGGGACCTTTATCTGGCTTCACGGTGTAGACGCCCTTGCAAGGAACGATCCTGCAGTTTCTGGGTAGATCAGCGCGTTTTCTCACTGTGAAGGCCTTCTTCACATCCTTGAGGTTCGCAAACTCCTTGTAGGCTGAGGAACGCCACTTGTCGATGTTTTTCCGCACATCACCAAGACTCACATTATGGGTAACCTCTAACCCACTTCCAGACTTCTTCAGGTCGTCCAGGAGAGTCTCAATCTCTGGGGTGTACTGCACTTCAGCCTTCTTGAGCATTTTCTTGATATGGTGTTCTTGGCATTCCAGCCCGGGGAGGCCCTTTTGATGATCCTCATCACCATGTGGTACATGAAGTAGTTCACCTTCTTCAATCTCAACAAAGCCAACTCCAACATTGTCCTCCGGCTTGATAGCTCTTAAAGCTGGCATATCATCTTCCTCGTCACCTTCAAGGTCGGTCTCCTCCTGATCGTCCTTCTTGTAGTCAAAGGGAAAACCCGCGTCGTTGAGGTCAATGATGTTCTCCTCGGTGAGTTTTGAGGTTCGAGGGGTAAACAGGAGCATCACTAACCTGTCGCCCACCCAAGGTTGAACTTCATGCCATACACGAGGTAGAAACTCCACCTTGCGTCCCTGAGCCATCTCCAGGAGCCTCCCAGGAAGCACCTTTCCATTGGGTAGCCCTTTTTCAACTCGGCTTGCTTCTGGTACTTCTTCGTCATGAACCCACAGCTCTCCTCCCTCAAAAGGTTGTAGAGGCATCACACAGCTTGTAGAAGTTCTCGAGTTGTGGACATCCCGATGTAGTCCCAGCTGTGCGTTTTTGGCCAAGCCCAGAGCTGAAAATTCCATGGGTCCACAATGATGCTTGGCAAAGGCCGTAAGATAGTGAGTTGTCCAAGGAAAATCACGAACATTATTTCTCACTCCTGCGACCCCACCGTGAACATACGCCC